ATGGCCAGGAATATGCATGTCTCACAAACACACGTTTCCCAAAAACACTTGCGTGCAGTGCTTGCATATGTTTTTACAGTCGTTTTGTAGGACCTAAGCAGCAATTTCAAAGAGGTTGTGCTTAGCAGAACAGTGTATGGTTAATTGGGTATGTTTACTAATATTTAAATAGATGGATGGATGGATGCAAAAAATGCAAGGTCACAACTGTTTATACAAAATTACTTTAAACAATGTTAGATGTAGCTTGATAAATTAACAAAATGGTCCATGTGGAGAACATACTGATCAGGGCTCCAAGTTTAATTTAAGAATATCTTATGTGGTGAAATCTAGAAACACTGCAAATTTTAATTAAAACACTAACAGATGTATAGAGTCTTTCAATTAAAATTGGCCTTGCAAGTGATTTGGGTGGGTATTGAACCCACGACCTCAAGATAATTAGCCTGGTGTCTTAACCGCTAGACCACTGAGCTTGTGCTTAGTTATGAATCCATATTTGATCCGTTAATAAACTATTCAATTTTCGACTTTTGAGGGTTTTTCAACTCATATATACTCAAAGAATACAAAATAAATAAGAAAAAACCTTACTTCTCTTCCGTGTTTTGTGGGGCGTATGACTTTGGATTAACATGGGCTAGTTTGATAACAGGATTCCTCTCAAGATTACCAATCAGTATCCTAATTTTTGATTCAACAAGTCCAACCCTAAAATAAAAAAAGCAATTATATTTCTTGTTGTACTGATTTCAATCGTATCATATCCCTGGGTTATAATTGACTACTCTATAACAAGTGTTAGCAAATATAGAGGTTGTGATGAGTTCAAAGTTTAAAATGTGAATTTTAACTGCAAATGGGGAGGTTGTGTTATATACTCTCTCCTTCCTCCTACCCAGCAAATTTCGTATTTCTGGTAGATTTTCCACTAAAATTGGGCAAGGTTGTAGTGAAGTGAACATAAGGAGCTGAGCGTTTGGCTGATTGGTATGGTTCTTGCCTCTTGCACGTCAGGGCCAAGGTTCGAGACCTGGCTCTGCAGCCAAGTACTGAATTCGGGTCTTTTATGAACGTTCAGCTCCTCGAATAACCCTTTCAGGAGAGTTAGGCAATTTAAGGACCTGTGTATCCTTTGTATGTTTAGTTTAAATGAAGTGGCGCTGCACTGCGCTTGCCGCAGTTCCGCAAGGGACCCAGCCCATATTCCCAGTGTTTATTACATTGAGAACAAAAAAAAAAGATTATTAGAGGGGAGTATAAACAAATAAATGGCTGATTTTCTTACCATTTTAAATGGTCTTTTTCTGAGCCTGCACTTGCACTCAATACAATGTAATGTCTGCAAAACAAAACAAATACCAGTATTAATACTGAGAAGAGTACACAGAAGTGTTAAATCAAGCATCTACACCATTTTTCACTTAATTTTATTTTTAATAATTAAACAAAAATGAAAAATGAAATAAATAACAATACTTACTTGTACTGATGGAAAAAGTTAGTAGGCTCAAACAATTTATCCCAGGGCAACTTTCCTTTAACAATTTCCTCTGTTACTTCCAAACCTGGAATAATGGAATTGCAATAATTATCACAAACATATTTATTTAACAATAGAACTTTCCACAAAGAAAGAGTATTAACTGTAATCAATAGTGATGCTATTTCTTTTTTAAAGTTATAACTTGTACACAGTCTTCCACTATTTATTCAGGTATAGAATGACCATCTTATATGGAACAAATTTAAAAATAACTATAAACAAAATAATAAACTTACAACATTATTAGCATATTACACAATGAGTTGATAAAATCATTTCAATTTACAGCTTATAAATCGACAGAATGACATCAATAAGAAAATAATAAGAGCACATAACACAAAATTGAATGTCAACCTTCGTCTATCCAGACTACGAAAATTTCGGTTACAAATAAATGTGATATGCCCATATATGGATGTAATATGACATCATCATGCCCATATATGGATGTAATATGACATCATCATGCCCATATATGGATGTAATATGACATCATCATGCCCATATATGTGCACTTCACACAGTTGTCACATACAATTTCATGTGTGGACAGAGCTTAAAAGAGGAAATATTATACAAATAATGAATATTTATGAGTGCAATGGAAAGAATATTTTCATGAGTTGAAAGATTGACTGTTTCATTCAAAGAGTCGAAGCCGAGTTGAATGGAACAGTCAATCTTTCAAATCATGAAAATATTCTTTCCATAGCACGAATACAAAACATTCATTATCTGTTTTATAACACACCTAAATAGATCCTTGCCATTTGATC